TAAATATTCAACCCCGCATCCAAAAAGGGGGAATAATTTTCCCGCTATTTAAATGTGAACCGCTATTTTAATAGGTAAAGGTAATTTTACCTTTCTGCAATTTCGAGTTTCTCTTGACAGTTGCTCATGGTTTTGCTCAGACAAACCTAATGGAAATTTGGGTTTTGACTTGGCTTCGGGTCCGGTGAATCTATGCATACAGGTATTTCGTTTTTTAATGAAAACAGCTGACGTGAGAGCAGAAATATATGCAGTCGACAAGTTTCTCTAAAAGGAATATCTGTTCGGTTCCACGAAATGATTCTTTTTTTTTTTCGCCCGAAGGAAGAAAAACATCACGGAGTCTGCTGAGAGCTCTACTTCCTTTCGCGCAATTCCCGAGAGAAAATCTCATCTTGCATCTAAACCTAAAGCCTTCGACCATCTCCGGCTATTTTTTTTTTGCATTACGACTTTGCATCCTTTGGCAATAAGTGACATTTCGTTGAAGAGAATTCTTTTCTTCCCTGCAATGAATTTCCCTTCAAGGGAAAATTTTCACCCCGTCCCTTCGAGTTCGCTATATCGAGCGTCGACTGTGGGTTAAGAGTTATGGTCTTGTTTTGCTAAATGTTCGGTTTTTCACTAACTGTCTTGTTTGGAAGGCGAGTAACACTCGTACATGTGCATGGAAACGGACACTTAGCTTGAGCGGCTGAAATTCCCTGGCCCTATAATGGAATTGCTACATTGTAGCGGCGGATTGCACGGCACAACTTAAATATCAGTTCGTTCGTATCACTGACGTCTCCACAGCTCAAACTGCGCTACTGACTAATCGACTTCTGCTCTCGTACGTCGCAAGAAACGGCTGCACGTCCGATGCGCACGGGACACGGGGGCATACTGCGCAGGAGTGACGTCAGAGCAGATGGACGATGTCATTGGTCGCTTACCGGATCCCCCCCTCCCCGGGAACCAATCAGATTGCACAGTCCCGTCCAATTGCAGCGACTGCCACTACCACAGGCACATTTGCGCTTTTTTCTTCCTGAAACTAAGAGGAAGCAGAGTTCGCATCAGACCTTTCTGCAATGCTTTTTCTCACCCTCCAAAAACTTCAAGAAACGTGACGGTCTGCTCAGGTCACGCGTTACTAACGGGTCCCAGAAATTCCTTCCCATCATGGTTCGTCGCCTGCAGGCTTGGCATCTCAACGATCCGAGTAATGGTTAAAGGCCAGACGAGAAGGCTGAGATTTCATTGGCTAGGCAATATTGGCCCTCGATTGCAGCCTTTCACGCTTTATTCGATGGGAAGGGACAGAGAATCTTCGCGACGTGATGGAAAACACTGGGGCTTCTACGACTTCATGAGTTCCCGGAACAACTTGCAAACGGTGTTTCACGTGTAAAAAAAAAAAGTGGGGAATTTCCGCTACACCGGCATCGACTCGGCCGCACAATTTTGAGCATAGTGGGAATGCTGACTTCAATCGATTCCGAGGAATTTCGTTTGAGAGATCTGGGGAGCCGAATGGCCTTGCCCGCGAAGGAGGAACGAAAATTTGTCCTGATGCTAAATTGTGGCCATTTTTTTGGTTGCCCTTCAAAAAAGTTACCGATGATTGACATGTAATTTACATGGAAATGACAGGGGACGCGTATCTCCTTTCGTGCGGTGTCACATCCTCCAAAACGTTCCTGCCCGATCTGACTGGAAATTAGGGTTAGGGTTATTATAAGACTGCACGTGTTTGAGGAGGTGACCGAGCGACCTCCAGGTCACATCACAGGCCGACGTCGCTCATCTGCCTGGTCGATTTACTCGCGCGTTCCTTAAATTTCTGCAGGACTCCCATCTGCTTCCTTCGGCAGCATATTCAACCGAATATTTTCTTTCTTCCAGAGTCCAAAGCAGCACCTTCCCTTAGAGCTGCCAGAATCGCAAAACTGCATCATGTCACTCCTGTACGCTTGACCCAAACCAGACCATACGTAATGCCACGGAGTGCCCTCTTTCTGCAGGTAAGAGATCTGGAATCGCATGACTTATATGCAAATGCCATGGTAATTCCTGGGATCGCCATGGATTGTACACAAGGAAATGAACGGGGACTGGCAAATTCCATCGAAATGACATAAGTCAATTACAACTGGCAATGTCCTGTAAATGACAAGTCATTTCCATGGAATTTCCCGGGCCACTTTTACCACCTGTAAATATTTTTTGCAATGGTGGTGAGAAAATCAGTGGAGAACGAGATTAGCTCAAGTAAATCGCTTCAGGTGATTAACAGTTTTGAGTGCACGACATTTTTCGAGGAAGAAAACGTATAAAATTGTCATCCCAAGTCACGTTAAAAACTTGTGGGGAGTAATTCCCCCAATCCTAATTACCAATGAGATAATTCCCCAAATCTTATCCCTCAAGCGTATTTGTGAGAGAATTTCCCCAAATTTTTATTCGCAAAGACGGATCCGCAAGAGCCTTTAAATATTAATCCCCCAAAAGGGCACGAGACACTCCCACGTCCCGCACGGGACAGTCCCAACAGTCCCACGTCCCGCACGGGACAGTCCCAACAGTCCCGCTCGAACAGCTGCGTCCAACCGTACCCAAGGGAGCACAGAAGTAACCGAGCAGAAAGAACGAAGAAAGGATACTTAAAGGCCAAAAGCCACGTCAAAGGTAAAAAAACACGGAGAATAGAAGGTCAAAGCATTCAAAAAGTCCTTTTCTCCCCACAAAGAAAGAAAAAAAGCAGCCAGAAAGATCTTAATTCGACAAGGTCATCAAGGACAGAAAAGAAAGCTGGAAGAAACTTCCTTGTCCCAAAATTCGATTCGGACGAATGCGTTAATTCCTTTCTCTCGGGCCAACAATGACAGGGACTCTGGCCAACAATGAGGCAAGAATCCCATCCTTGCAGGCATTTTCGTCTCGGCTTCCCTTCAGTAAGTTTCGTTTTTTTTTAATTTATAATTATCATGCACGTACGCGCAGGCTGCATTTCGCGAAAGCTTTAAATCCAGTTTAAACGGGATTTCAGTTCCGCATTCAGCCCAACAAGCCCGTCCGCCAGGTTCTGCAGCCCTGCTTCAGCTCAACGAGGTCGGACGATTTGGTCCGGCCTCCGACGCTTTAAAACATGATAAAACATGATAAAAATGCATAAAATAAATAATATATAAAAATCGTGGAACGCATTCACCGTAAGCGTCTTCGACAGGAAATTCGCAGCCGAAAAAAAAATTTGCATCACGCCAATTTATGCAGATGAATCCTCCTTGAAAGGATCCTCACAGGACAATGGAAAAAGACGTGGGAGGAAATTCGAGTCTGAATTCATTATCATTCAGTCCTTCCGTTCCCTCTGACGTTTCGCTAAATTTTTAATCCATTTTTTGATAAATGCGTGGTCGACGCACTTCGTCTTTACTGGTTCGTGACGTCAGCAGAGACTAAAAATAGCACTTCTCGGGAAGGATAAGAGACTTGACATTTTGCTGGGAATTTCTCGGGGGGAAACGGCTTTAGACCGGATTGATGGGCTGAATCCCTCGTGGTCCGAGTTTGTCGTTATGATTCGTGCCTAACAAAAAAAAATATTTTCGGGATTTTTATTTTTTATTTTTTATTTTTCAGGAATTGGGATTCCGATTCGCAAAGGAAAAAAAGAAAAACAGCTTCCACCTGTCGGAATTGACTCTAACATGCGAGTGCAGCCGAGTCGAAGATTCCGCGATTGAACGAGCGTCTCAGACGTAACGCGCGTTTAAAGGAAAATGCGCTCCTGAAATTTTGGGGATTGCCGACGGCGACGGGCCGACGGGCCGACAGGCCGACGGCGACGGGATGCACTTCGGCTCGCATCAGACGCTGTCAAACGGGAGGTCGGCGACGAGGGAGGCTTCGATTCGCTCGAGGACTCGACGACACCCCATCGACGACATTAACGACATCTTCGACAGCTGTGCGATGGTGCAACTCCTGCCCCAGATGAGAGCTCGCTTCATCGCGAAGACCTTGCCCTCGAGGTCGCTCCTCCACGAAAACGCGACGAAAAGCCGGGAATTCTTGTACCGCCTGGCCCCGGTGCTCTCACAGGGCACCGAGAAGACCCGAGAGCACAGGCAGCTCATGGAGCAGCTCATTCACCAGTCCCACCCGACCGCATCGAGACGCAAAACTAGGAAAAAGAAAAATTCCTGGGCCGACCTGGAAGCCTCCGGGTTCATCGCATACCCCGACGGCGACTTCTGTCCCGTTCGGGACATCTGGGACGGAGACCCCCTTCTCCCCGACTTGTTCCCGGTCCTCGCCCCCGTCGTCGACAGCCAAAAGCCTCTGAAACCCATCGCAGCCGCATCGGGCCACGACACGAAGAAACAGAATCCAAGCAGGAAACGTGCCACTCCCAAGAAAAACAAGGAAAACGCGACTCCTGCTCGGACGGCCGAATCCACACGCCATAAAATTTAATCACCGATTAGTACTCTACCGTTCGTGCGATTCCACGCGTCCATCGTTTCCATTTTTCTATCGACTGAAAAAATTTTCCCGATGTGAAGCAATAGATCACACAAGACATTGGATTTTCTTCCTTTACTGCATACAAGAGACACTTGTAACAAAGCCAATGGTTCATCATTTGAAGACTATTACCCACTGACACCGATTCTCACAAGTGCAGAGACTCGCCTACGACAGGACTGCATACGATCATCAAATTCTCTCCCGTTCGAGAAGGGGGTGAAGCACGAAGGAATGGGACAAGGAAAAAAAAAATTCATCCTGTCTGCCGATCGATCACGGCTGAGGACCGACAGCACAAACATTGCACACAGCTGGGAATAAAATGCATAAATATATGATCTGTCTAAAAATTGCAATCGTCATCTGAGAATCACTTGAGGTGTAGAATCAAATACATCTCTTTCGCAGCTTCGGATGATGCAACCTTCCACCGAGGGGCGTTTCTGCCACCTGTCACCAGTCCCGTGCCAGCAATGTTTTCACTACTGCAGTACTTGGAACTCGGAAGGAATGAAAAGGCAGTGGAGAGATGGAGCAGAGTCCGAGTCCACGCGGGGGACTCGCCTCTGTGGGGCGGGGTGACACGCGGTGCCGACTTCCGAATCCGGTGCCGACTTCCGAATCCGGTGCCGACTTCCGAACCCGACAAATGTCACGCGGATGGGGTCGGCCAACAACGTGCATGAATCCCTGGCATCCAGAAATCACATCTCCGTTGTAGAGAAATCAAGGGGCTCATCGAAAGAAGAACAACAGGACGCGAGAATTGCTCATCGATCCAGTGCAAATACATTCATTTTGCAAAACAAGGTCAAATATGAAACAAGAGGACTAGAGCTACCCATAAATTCTATGTCCCTAACTTCTACAGATAGAATAACAAAATCCATAATCAAACAGAAAAAAAGAAACTTTAAACCATGATACCCATACTGTAAATGAGTGAATAGTTGTCTTCTCAACATTCAATCCCTTGAGGTTTAATTCGAATGCAGTCATCATAACTCTGTCAAATCAAGGACATCTCGTCCCCTCTCTAGCAACACCTGCCAAGGATTCATGCAATCTCTGAGAGCGGGAATGTGGAAGAGAGAGAGAGAGAGTAAAGGTCGAGAAAACGGCGAAGGCGATCAAGTCGGATTCTTAAGGATTCGCCTCTGCCGATAGTCATAGACACGTGACGAATAGAACACTCTGTCGGCGGCCATGTGGCCGGGCGGAAGGCGTTCGTGGCGTGCATAGCCCACGCCATCGTGAGGCACCAGTTCCACCCGCCACGTCACCCCGTTCTCCACTTGACGTACAGCTCGACGATACCTAGGGAGAATGAAACTTATTATGGCAAGAGGCTTGCTAAATGATTTCCCGAGAGGAATGTCAGGGTGTAAAATTAAAGGACTGACGAGGAAAACGGTCTATCTGCAACAACAACAAAAAAGTTTTCCATTCTTGAGAAGGTAGCTGGGAGTAAATATTCTAGTGACCATCCTCTTTAAAATGAGTAAAAGATGTAGACAGACCAGTTTTCTGCTAGCAAAAATCCTATTATCTGCAAGGAAAGGAGAATAAGTACGCTATACGAATTTCCAGTTTCTTTGCCTTTCTTGGCAGGTAGACCAGCCCTTCAGCTTTCCTGATAAAATGCATGTTCCACTTCACCGATTTTCCTGGAAACTTTCCATAATAAGTCCATGAGTCCAAACTGCACGGGCATGACAGACTGTCCATGACAGACATCTCGAAAAGCAGTTAACCAGTCATGAACACCACAGAGCATCTCACGGGATAGCAGATGGAGAGACAACAGCTGTCTTGCATGAGAGTGATATCTGGGTCGATGATCTCTTTCCATTGGTAATCAGAGTGCATCACCCAACTGGCCATCAAGAATGCAAGAGCCCCACAACTTGCCAGTCTTGTTTTGAAATCATTTTAAAAAAATTATTAGAATGAAAGTACTTTCTGATATTCTTCCCTACTTGCAACTGCAATTATGCCAATATGCTACTGAGCTGCAATCTGCAATGAGAAACATTCCAAAATCCTAGTAGAAGACGTACAAGGGAAAAATGGAAGAAAAAGCCCTTGTCCTGGATTGTTAATATCTTCACTCTCATTTAGAGCATTTATTTCCTTCAACTTCATTGAATGAATGTTCATTTGAATGATTGTTTAAAGTCACTACTCTTTAATGGATCTAGAATTGTCTCATATCACTAAATTGCAATTTTGATACCACAGAAATCAAGGACAGTGGAATAATATTTGAATTTCAGCAAAAGGGGGATGAGACAGGCTCCAGACAGTTGTGATCATCTTGAATATGAAGCTTGAAAATTCCTCAGAATGAATTTCCATGTATAAATTTACTTCCCCATATGCATCTCTCTCTGAGAAATCAATCGAGTCTCCCACGAAATAATGCACTTTAGAGGAGTCAAGCAATTGAGACCCTCATGGTGTGTACTCCACCCAACTAAACACAGCATACTAAGCTTGACTTGAAATGTTGTTGAAGTTCGACAGTAGATTCTTCTGACAATATACTGCACACAGATTACAATCAGATGCAGTAACTGAATGGCATCATGTAGAAGCTCTATAGTATCTTGCCTTAAATAGCACATGCATGCACATTCCTGTTTCTACTTCTTTTTCCATTTTGCATTCTCTGCACATTTTATGATGGGACTATGGGACTTTCACCATCCAGACATAACAAGAGGAAGAGAACACTGACCTGCAGTATTCATTAAAGGTGAGAACATAACACCTGTCCTCTATGCAGGCAGGAACGGAAAGATCCCGATGACGTGAAGCGAACACCTCATCGCTGGGCAATTCGCCCGGCTGATCGGTCTGCTCTGGTCGATAGTACCAGACCACAGACAGCATCATTTCACCTATTTAGATAGCACAAGGCTTGCATTCTGTGGTATTGCCAAGACACAGGAACCACAAGTCATCAAGGATGTAATATCCTACCATCATCTGGGCTTTCCCAAAGAGCAGCCACCTTGGCAATGTACGGGAGATCCCCTTTGCGAGCACCGGACTTGAGGAGGATGCAATCCCGAACCTTGACGACATCGCCTTCGATGTGCCGCATCGCTTGATAGCACTTCCTCTCCACAGGTGGGTCATCACTCTACACATTCATCAAAAACCATTAGTGCCACCACTAATGCCACAAGAACAAGATTGCAATTCATCTTATAAATATGGCAATGCTGAAGTAACTCACAGACAGAAAGACTGGGGCAAATGTGGGCTCTCCTTCCCACGTCCAACCATTGGACCACTTAGGATGCTGAAGCCCCATCCTGGTCACAGGTACCAGGGACGTCATAGCCGCAGGCAGCTCCTTCATGGTGTGGGCACTGCTGGGAGCCATCTGCTTCTTTTTCCCAACTTCACTTCCCTTGCCTTTCATATCCTTGTCCTTCTCTTTGTCCTTGTCCTTTTCCTTCTCCTTGTCCTTGTCCTTGTCCTTCATCTTCACCTTCACTTTTAGCAATCCATTCACTTTGGATGCATGGAAAGCACCATTTACATGCTTCTTTGTATCACCATTCATTTGCTTCTTTCCATCATCGATCATTTGCTTCTTGGTATCACCATTTACATGCTTCTTGGCATCACCATTCACATGCTTCTTTGCATCACCATTCACTTGCTTCTTTGCATCGCCATTCACTTGCTTCTTGGCATCACCATTCACTTGCTTTTTTGCATCATCACCCACCTTGGTCTGCTTCACTGTGGTTGAGTTGGGAGACTTCTTCTTTGGCATGGCTGTAGGTTTGAGTATTATTGGACATGTTTTGGATTTCAATTTTCCATCTCCAACTTTTTTGCCAGGATGAGTCATGGACTTGGGGGCAGACAAGACCGAAACCTTCTTTGTACTTGGCTTCAAGGTGGGTGGACCAACCTTGGCTTTTAGGGTTGAAGTACCTTGCATTTTGACTTTGGTCTGTTGCACCTTGGTTTTGAATGGCAGTGGCACTTGCATCTTCAGCTTTGGAGGAGGAGGCATGAGCATTTTCATCTTTGCCTTCGACGTGGAAATCTTGGGCTTCAGCATCTTCATGCCGTCCTCACGATGCTTTAACGCTGCCAGTAAACTGGGTTTTTCCTGCTGCTGTCGCTTCATCATGTGCTTCTGATGACGTTGGCTCATCCCGGAATTCTTGCGCTGCTTGACCCTTGCCAACGACGACATGATGAAAGGCCCACTCGAGGGCTTGAGGTCCTCTCGCGTCATGGCCTCAACATTGACCAGCACCCCATTCTTTTGGTTGGCAATGAGGTGCACCCCATTCTTGAGACCCAGACGAAAGTTTCGTCTCATGGAGTCGAGAATCAGCTCCTTCTCTTCAGGACACACCACGGCTGTGGCACCCTGAGGGGATCCAAAGAGCAGCGGGGCCTTGTTGGGGCTTGTGAGGGCTTGAGGTGTTTGTGGTTGTGATTGTTGTGCCTGGGGTACCGGCCCCCCCTGGCAGAGACCCGGAGGGAGAGTCTCACCAGTAAGGGGGCCAGTATGGACGTTTTTTGGACACGGTTGCATTGGGCAAGGACAAGGACTGCTACCTCCCATAACTGAAACAGAAAAAGTCAGATGTCATTAGGCTATATCTCAATCATTCATGAAAATCGTTGCTCTCTTCAAATCAATATTGCATATGACAAGTGAATAATACAGTGCAAAAACTGCAAAAACCTTTGCTTTCAAGGATCCAGGCGCCTTATATGATATGAAAACAATTTCCCACTGAGTTTTGTAGTGATTTAAACCTCATCACATGAGCTGTAGTTACCCCATTGAAGGTAAATATGTTAAAACTATCTCTTTAGGCATTTAGAGAAGTAATATGTTGAATAAGGCCCGAGTGAAAGATACCAGTATTGACAAATAGAATATTAGATCTTGATAGGGTCTGCTCAAGCCATACATCATGGGCTCAATCAATTTTAAATGTAAATCTCAAATACACTTCTGCCTATACAAGGTGAACCAGAAGTGAGGACTCACTTTAAGGCACAATAACTTTGGAACAGTTGCATATATGCAATATAAGCAATGAGTGTTAGGTACACATCAACAGCACATAGACTACTCATAGAGCAACATGGCAGGTGCATGGCTACCTCTTGAGAAAAGTGTTAGATATGCCCAATCATTTTCTGTAACAGACAATGCTGCACAGAAACAATGCATTCATGCCAAAGCAATTCAGGGAACCAGTGCCTATGTGGAAGACAGTTGTGCATCTGAACAAAAACTTTGACGAAACAGGTAATGCATTGTACAGTAAACAGCCAGCTTGTCCAGAAACAGTGCACACCCTGGAAGAAGTGGCATGTGTTGCTGAACTGAATGAGTCAGGTCTTGCAATCACCAGATCAAACACTGCCAGGTTTCACTGTGGGAGTATCTCTAAAGCAGGGTTCATTGTCCATGGTATCCACAACCTACTGGATGTGATCACAAAGGAGTTCAATGCCATACAAGCAGAGATGGGCCACAAAGCATGCACACAGGTGTTAAGACTGTCTCTGGGCGTTTTTGCATGCAGATGGTGCCCAAGTAGATCATGAACATATGAGGGCAACGTGATGCATTTGTGTGGATTGTTTTCATTTTGCTCTGGTTTTTCAATTATGTTTGTGCATAGTTTGGCACTGGTCATGCATAGTTTCATCACACCCATGTGCGATGAAAACATATGCAACCATTCCAAAGTAATAGCGTTTTAAAGTGAGTCACTGCTTCTGGCTCACCTTGCATTTGAGTGAACCCAAACTCAAACTCAAACGAATCATAACAAAATAGATTCAAATTAAACTTAAATGAAACATCACTATAGCATAAATGAATATTTTGATCTAGTAAACCCAAAAAGAGAACTTTTCATAATCTTCGTCAAACATTCCCAACAAACCAGACCATGAAAACGCTGAAATATGCAGCAAGCAAGATTCATGATGCAATCCCCCTTCCCTCTAATAATAATGAAAAGAGAAGGGAAACATGACAAACTCATCTGAAATACTCAAGAATGTTGAACCCAAAACTACACTCGGTAAGTGCATGACCTAATCAAACCCAAGTCAAAGACGCAAGCTAGTCAATCTCATTAGGCAAATACCACAACCTTTCATAATCATGATCCCTGAGAATTGTGATTCACAGTTCCTGCACCACTGTAGGCCAAGACAGGACTGTCATTCAAGCCAGATGCCCATTTCAAGATCTTATCTATATTCTTTTCAAGAGTCCCTCAACACTGGTTATGCTCCGATGGGACTGGTCAAAACACAACTAGCTAGGCATTCAAGTAGGTATTACAAAATGAGGAGAGCATAGTTATTTCATGTTCTTCAAAGCCTGTTTGCAGAAATATTTACACCTTCTAAAGGAAAACAAGATCCAACGGATAGCTACAACACGTGTAAGAGCAAGGGATAAACATACCTTGTGCATTGTAAGAAGAATAGGAGTATTCAGGAGGGCATTGAGGGTAGTGTTCAGAAGGGTTCGGAGGGAGATGTGCAGTAGGGGGATACATCGGGTTATACTGCGGCATCTGTAACGGCACACCAGGAGGATTCCCACCACCGGTTGGATAATGATAGGGGCTGTACGACGATTCTTGACTGTAGGTGCTCGTCGTGGAGTAGAAAGCATGGGGGTACTTGTGATGAGAGAGGTGTCCCTGAGCTGGATGATATCCTGAGTAGGGTTTTGGAAAGGGATGATAATAATGGGGTTGTGGCTGGTAACTGTCTCTCCAGTAAGCATGTGGGGGTGGGGGATAGTAGGCTGGGGCGGGGGTCAACACACTGGGAACGGTGGCCGTGCTCGTAATGGATGCCGTGGGTGCCACCACTACGAGCCCAGAAGTCATTGAAGATGCTGAGGTCGTGCCCGTCGCCGAGGACGTGACGGTGGAGGATGACGACAGCAGCGTGGATGACGTGGTCGATGCCTGCGACGAACCAGCCGAGCTGTGGGGATGTTGCGCGACGGGTTTCAACACCCCGCCTTTCGCCCCTGGATCTCCTGCCGCAACGGGGTTCTGTATCAACGGACCCGCTGGCTGGTACATCCCTACATGAAAGACACAACCAACTATTTAATACTCTTCTTTTTTTTTTTAATACCTTGATATGCTGAAAACAAAATAAGAAACACGGTAACACATATCTCATTTTCCACTCATCAACGCCATTCTTGCACTTCGGGAAAGTCATCAGAAAAAGAAATCAGTCGAAACACCCACACCTTCGCGGGCGCATTCGTTACCGACTCCCTTCACTTTCTCAATGACTTGTACCCGATACGATCTTTGCCTTCCAATGAAGCGCCTCATTCTTATCGCCACGATGGTGATGAATGTCACGGAGATGGAGAGAAAGGAAATGAAGCCGAAGCCAAAAGAATTCCCGGAATTTCCAAGCGACGGGCGAAATGAATATAACAGGATATTAAAAGAAAATCCATGCCTATCGGGAGTCACTGAATCCAAACACTTCACCATCGGGCTAATTTCGAATGACATTAGTCTGCCTTAGCTCAAACTTTCTGCCTTTCTGAGGTGGCCACGTCCCACAATACGTAGCAGCGGATTCCCCTCGTCAGGTGGAATGGCTCCTCAAATGATGACTGAAAGTCCCGCATGTTATGCAGACTTCGTCATCCTTTCACGTGCAGGTGCGAATCACGAGGCTTCCAACCGTTAACAGGCCATACACTATACATAAGTCATATATATCGGCAAAGAGGCGGGTAGATTAACTATGAGATAGTAATCTGCGTCCGTGACGACACGTATGCGAACGATATTTTCCCCTCATACTCTTTTAGATTCTAAGCGAAGAAAAAACGAAAGGCATTCGGCACGAGCAAGGCTCGCGGGATCCCAACGAATCTCCCGTTCACCAACAACGCAAGACCAACAATCAACAAAGTTCACCAACAATGCAAAACAGTCTCCCACGTTCCGACATTGGCGTCGCCGCCAGCCAGACTGCCAGTGCAAGGGCTTCGCTCCCATCCGGCGTCTGTCACCGCCAGATGATCCTCGAGCATTCACACGTAGGTCATCAGGGTGCAGCATCCATGACGATCGGCCAGAGCACGCATGCGCTAGTCGACGAAAAGAGTCGGCCGCAAGTCGGTATGGAATCAACGGTGATCGCCTCATACGACGATCCAAATGATGTTTTCCTGTCTGCCCTTGGCAATCAGTCATGAATTTGCGGTGAGCCGGCGAGAAAGAGGGCGTAATACGGCTTTCATACGACAGAACCCGTTACAAGACAGCACTCCGACGAGACCGCCTGTCAACGAATGACGAGCTCAGTACTGCCCCAATTACCCCGGCCCTGAATAACCCATGACGATGACTGAGCACGCAACCACGGATGCTTCCTGCGCCGGCCGCTAGATGGACCAGGCGTGACTGCGCCCGAGAATCAGGGCGGATGGAATGGAACAACAGCTGCTTCCGCTTTCCCCCCATTCAGGCCAGCCAACCAGGTGTCGAAGAGGATTCCCCCCGAAGGCACGGCAATGCAGCCTGTGTCTATGGACTGCGGTCTCCGCTCATCCTGCCGTTTCTCAAGAAGAATCTCTCACTCTGACGCTCGCCACACGTCATCAACCTCTTTCCCCGATCCCCTCGCGCTGATCTCTATCGCCGATAACGATGTCCGTGCTATCTGATCGACTCGGGCAGACGTGACGGTTTTCGATTACGATGAAATGAAAACAATGAAAACAGACCGACACCGCCCCGCGACGTTTCGAGACCTTGTGAATATGGAAAGCCACTATATAGCTTCGCCACCAGCACGTGCACAACACTCACTAAATGGAAAATGCGCGAGAACGCATGACGAATGCGTCTGCATGCGACCACGCGAAAACGCACAGTGAGGGCTTGTCCAAGGTGAGCCTTCTCATGACAAAGGAACTTCGTGTCTCCCTTGAGTTTTGTCGGTCAGCACCGTGCTGCAAAATTTCAAGCTTCTCTGTCGCGCTACTTTTACCCACTTTGAGGGGGCGACCCAATCTTTTCCTGTTCGAGACCCGATTCAAGGACTGAAGCAGCTAGATGAAAAGCGGCACAGCCCTAATCTGGCCCTAATCCTTTCCTTATGACAAATCCGTGCAGGTCCATTCAAATCTTCGGCCTTAAATCGCTACGGGGTTTCAGAGTATCCCCTTACTCAGCAATACGCGACCGCATTCGGAATCTCGAGCACTGCAATCCATCGTATTTCTTTGTTTCTACCTAATAGGAAAAACCCACAAAAAAAAAAAAACATTTTTTTTTTTAAGTGTTGGCGTTGGAATGTTGAAGGGCAGTGGGTGGAGGGAAGAAGCGAGATACATCCATCCTAACCCCCTCTCATTTCAAACGCCGACTTCCCGTGTCGTCTATCGACTTTCCGTGTCGTCTATGGGGGTAATTGTGGAGCAAAAGTCGGACTAGAGGATTTTTCTCCTGTCGGCTGAATCTAGGTACAAACCAAGTAAATGATAGGCATTCGGCCCTGGACCAACTCTCCAGCATGATCACATTATATACAATTCAAATAAAAGTGACGTGGCCCACAAGATGTGCTTCACACTTACCCTAAAATGGAGGAATTTGAAGCACGCTGTGGTTAATATGAAAACCTTTCTCATTCAAAGAATTCAAACTTCCCTCAAGGGATTCTGAAGCACACCTGAGTATGAGAGACAATCATCCGGTATTTAGGTCATGACAAAATATTTTCATAAATGCATTTAAAACCCTCTATGCATCAAATATCGACATCCCCTCGCAATATTTTTCTTCTCCTTCGAGTTCCTCCTGTTCGACCACTGCTTCCTGTGTTCTACTAAAGAGGGCAACACTGTTGATAAACTTAAGGGTGTGGCATGTCACAGCTAAAGAGCATTGAGTACATGGAGCAATAAAGTTGCCTCATAGCTTGATGAGAACGCTCCAGTTGTTGCAGATCTGCAACTATGGAACATATACGGCTTGAATGAATTACCTTGAATGAATTACCTGCAATGCCCAGGGATTAATTGATTTTTCTGTGATGTTTCAGGTGTGACTCGCTTCCAGAATGTGCGCTAGGTCAACAGAGTTCCTTTACCTTAAGGACTTTCGTTTTCACGAAAAAAAAATGAGCAGGCCTACTTACCCTGATTACAATAAAAAAAAGAAACGAAAACCAGCCGCTGGTATCGTTGGAATCACAGCTGTTCTGCTTGGCATTTCTCCATGACAAGGACATATGGCACAATGACAGAGATATACCTAATTTCCACAGGTAGCCTCACAATCGCAGAAGAAAGAAATCTCGTCTCAATTCTTGGTCGCAAGAAAATCGAGATTCATCCCAAATAAGCCTACTGATGAGGAAATCACCGGCACTCACCTCACTTCGTTCCATAAACCTCATTTCCTCAGATCTGCTCCAAGCTTCCCAATTTTTGAAGAGATAAAATTTTTTTTTCCTGTCTTGCTCGTATTTACAGAGCATTTTACATGCCTCAGAATAACCGCGAAGTCGGCTTCAAAATTACTCACGAGCAAACGAAAAGGAGAGGAAATATTAAACGCTCAGACAAAGGAGAAACGAAGACAACAGAATTTCTGAGCTCAATTTCCATGACTCGTGGATCTCCGAGGATACTAATTAAAGAGAACGCTTAAGGAGAATGCGAGGCTCGCGCCGCTGAAAAAGACAAGCCATTAATACTTTAGCAGTTTACATTTTTAAATGGTATTTCGTTTGTATATTTCTCAAAATATACGAGTGAAAATTACCACTCATTTTGAATGACACTAGCACTTGTGGAGACTGCCATAAAAAGTTTACTTATGAACCAAACTTCGCCTAGAACAATCCCAACTTTTATCTCTTCAGAGCACAAACAAGCAGACAGGCAGGAAAGGACTTCAAGTCGCCTCTTTTTTTGACGGCAAAGACCAATTAAAACTTTTTTTCTTTACCACATGCAGATATCCAAGTGAAATTAGAAAGACCGTTGATTCATGATCCCTAGTAATAATTTTTTAAAAAGTGTTCTGCTCACACGAAAATGAGGTCAAACTCTCATATCTGCGATGTTGCGACCGTCTGTATCAATTTTTACCCGAACGGAAGATATTATGGCGACGTTTCTGATCTCATGCCAGTAGTACAAAGGTACTCTGTGTCGCTTTCGAATGAAATATTGATACGTCCCGCTAGCACACCTCTACTTCTGAATCGTGTTACGGCTGATGCCAAAAGACACCCTAAACCTCTAGTACAGTGAGTAAATCAGAAAAACCAGAAAAAATCTTCGATGGAAAATCCCTACAGAGACCGCCATTTCTTATCCCTTACCATTGGCTGCTATGCAAATGTGATCGGAATCGATGTGCCCTAATTTAAAAGTAGGCCAAGAAATGGCCTATTTTCGATTCTTTTGTTTGAAGAGCGCTGTGCTACGCAGGCTTATGCACAACGTTTGGCTACCTCACGGAAATGCACTGTCTGTGTGAACCAGGTGAGAGGCAGAAACAAAATGAAACCATTCCACAAAACAGCAATCCATTTAGAAACGGTAAGTGCAAAATCATGACCCCTGTTACACTTCGTAAGGCGAACTTCCTTCTCTCCAGCTTTTTTTTTTAAACAAAAAAAGCTGCCACGATGGTAGTTTCGAAAACGTTGAAGAATCGGTGCATCGGAGAAACTATTTGCCCCACGAGAAAGTCGGGGAAATGGGGGGCGCTTCATCCCTCGCCGGGTCGATTTGAGAGAAGGGGGGGCCCCGATCCCCTTCCATCGTCTCTCGTCGCGATCGGGGGAGATCACCTCCGTCCCTTCTCGCCGCTTTCAATAGGGGGAGAGGGTTTGCCGAGCGAGAGGGAGCATCGCGATGGGGGATTAAATCATCGACGCCCCCAGCTATCGAAGTGATACCGACACATGGACGAATTGTGACGGCCGTAGTCTTTCATCAATCTGGCTCTCTGTGCTACGATATAAGACAGAGGATTCATGGCGCCCAGCCTGGCACTTATTCTTTAGCTTTCATTTAAGTCATTCAATTGCATTCTATTGAATGCCAGAAGGACGACTTTGCCTTACCCCACCTTAACGACCGTATGCCACAGGCTATCTAGCTAGTCTGTCTGATAACAAAGGTCGGTGATGTCGAGTTTCCGCTTGGGATCTCTTTAAGAGCCCCACCTGCCGGACAATTCCATTCAGAGGGCACTGCATGGCTGAAAAAAAAAATAGAAATCGAAGTTCTTTTCCCCCTTTGTCGATTCCTTTCACGGTACATCATGAGGAGATAGGAACTCCCCTCTCCCTAGCTCTAAGCAGCATTGCCTGTTACCATAAGACATCAAAAGTAATACTTTTTATACTATTCCAAGGGGAAATGCTAAGGCTACGGGCAACATGAAAAGACTAATTGGATTCTCAAACGCCGCGTACGCAGTGCCTCCCGAGACCAAAAAAAGTTGACTTTTTTTGCTGCAACAATGCGGTTGAAAGCCTTTGTACAGCTGGGAATATAGTATGGCTTGCCGAGACGTATTCAGAAGGGGAGAGGGAATCCACGGTGGGTCTGATCAGATTGCAATCCAAAACGAAGTCAGGGGGAGATCTTCCGGGCTTTGACCCCGTCCCCGAAATGTAGACCTCATTTATTCAATTGGGAGTTCCCTCCATCTACCTCCCTTTCCCTCTTCCCATCATTTTGGTGGGGGAAGGGGAAGTAATCGCTGCCTTGCGTTCTAATAGCTTCATTTATTCATTGGAAGGGAAGGTGTCCGAACAGCACCCACTTCTCACTCGCCAGTCCCTAGGGGCTCCCCCCCCCCTTCGGAATTTGTTTCTGGATATGCTCCTGATAGCGTGATATAGGAGTAAAATTTTGGAAACTGACTCAGTAAACAGGAATTGACAAATTAGGCTATAAGAACTGCACTTCGATTGATGACATACTTATATTCCCCACTGTGTGACATTCGCAGTCATAACGTAAATATATCTGGAATGCAACTAGTACTAAAGTATTGCCAAAGGTTCCCTGCTTCTTCTCTCGGGAGCCTCGACAAAAAAGGGAAATAAGGCGGTGGTAAATTATCCATAAATTGCAAACCACGTCGTTCATGGATAGCTGCTTCATGTTTTGCTCAACCGACCCTGGCCCATTTTTTTTTGCCTCACTTTTTTTTACCTCACTTTTTTTTGGAGACGAGGGAGAGGGACAAACTTGCAGGGTCGTACTCCAGATATATTGGGGGAGGGTTGGGGCAAGCCAAGAGCAAGACTATAGGCGCCGTGAGCCCCCTCCCACTAAATCTACTTCGGGTGGGTGGGGGACAGAGACATGGGCTCCCCGAATCTCCTCCCTCCCGAATCCCCCTGACAGGCCAAATCGGTTCAGGGAGGATCCTTGCAGTCCTGGACGTAAGTGGGTCAGATTGTCGATCAGTTCGATGTCGTAAAAGATTTTCAAATACCTCTTCGGTGAGGAGTAGAAAATTGCCGAAAATGTGCATAATCTATTGGACCCATCGACCCAAGAAACATACTGCCGTAGATCTTACCGGTATATACCGTAATATACCGCAGACAATGAGTATCTCATCCGTCTCTTTCAAGGGACTGCAGGATATATATAATGCGGGCGCCCGTTTGACTCTCCATGATACTGTACTCAGTGGAAAAGTTTGCATGTAATGAGGCTTCCGGGCATCGTTTGGTCGTCTCTCTCAAGAGAATATATGAGAGGGTATGATGCCATGCTTTAAAGTCTCAAGATCCCACATCTGGCAGGGCCTCGTTCATCACATCGACACAATCCTCACCAGAACTCTGAGAAGCCGAATCAGACCGCGAAAAGACCAGCTGCCTTGGGCAACGGATACATTAAGATGCATAATTCGACTTCATGCTTCTCAAGCTGTTGTCGAGAAAAGTTATTCTAACACTCGTTCAGTGGCGCTGGCATGTTGCCTCTCAAATGTTAAGAACTCATTAAAAAAAAAGATACGCTGCTACCATATCCCTCGATTATCCTCAGCAGCTGCATACAATTGAATGGAACAGGTATCAAGCAGATAAAAACGGGGACAAGATTAGCAAAGGCAGAGAACTCGACTTTCTACGACAGAAACACGGCATTTAATCTCCTTGTCATGATGAAGGGTATCTACTTTTCCAATGAAATATAAAATTGATGACTTTTAAAAACAAATAGAACATTTAAAAAATCCCAACCATGTCAAAATTACGCCCACGATGCGGCAGAAGGACATTTCTAGCGAATTTCTCCTTTCTCTTCCCACACAAAGAGGAATCCTCGAAGACGGTCCTGCCCACTGCCCCAGAAAATAATTTGTCACTCTCTCGTGAGTGAGTACGTGTCACTTTGCACTTCTGGAATATTTCCGCGACCGCTTCTCCCTCCAGCTGCAGGAGCCTCCCCCCGATTCATCAATCACGGTTCGCAGCCAACAGATCCCGGTATCTCGAATGCAGCGTCTAATCAACGTCTGCAGGCCAAGAGCCCCATCCTGCGCTTCTCTTTCGAAGCACGCTCTGCTGCTTCGGATTGCGCCGTTTGAAAAGGTGTGGCGGAGCATCTCCAAGGGCTCAAAAACCTGGCAGTTCTTCCTAATGCATTTTTAACGGTAAATGTGCATAATTTGGAGGATGCCATAGACCAAAACATATCACTCTGATGGCTGTAAAATAAGAAAATAAAATAAATGGAAGTCGAAACTAATAACATCGCGGACACTTACGGTGAGAAGCTAAATTATTCGCAGCACCGATTCGTACTACCAGAGGAGCGCTGCTGTCTTTCCCACACGTGGTTTCAGGTTTATTTCTCTCTTTGGTGGCTCGTCTAATCATGCTCGTAGAATACGATCTTGACAAAAGTATCGAAGACTGCATCAATCTCCCCAGGCCTGAAACAGTTTCAGCAAGACTCCTCGTAACATGGAGTTTTCGGGGCACAAGCCCTGACGCCTCCCGATTCTAACAGCTAAAAAAAAACTGGGAATTTCTCACAACTTATCTATTATCTCTGGTATTCATTATAGGAATACTTTTCTCCACGTGGCAACGAGCCAACAATGATTGGCAGGATGCTGAAGTGCTCTTCCCACTTCAAAGTCAGGAGGGAAAAAAAGGCCTCTCGGAAGAAAAACTTCTCTAATATGAACGGAGATTCCAATGCATGCTTCTCGCATGGAGTCCGAATAACACTGAGTGCTACTGATACCACTTTCTCTCGCATGGGGTCCGGTTTCCGGAGATAATTTATCAAAAAGAAGGGGAGCTTTATTTCAGGCAAGACTCTATCTTGGGGAATAGAGCTGGATAAAAATAAAAATAAAATCTTCCGTCCTCATCCGATGTTTGTATATATTTTTCCAGTGAGATTGATGATCAGCGACGAGATGGAAGATCGCATGGCTGACGCGGGCCCCCTCCACGGCTTTTCAATTTTCTCAACACAGTCCTTGTATCGAAAAACCCGAGACGGAGGGGCCCCATCCGTGGGGGCAGGAATCTATTTGGATACCGGATCATCGACTAAAGCCTTCTTAAACCTTGAAATGCCTGTGCATGTTAGATTAGAGGAGAAGGGAGAAACTTACAATGCCGTCATAAGTGCCAAGGAATATCCACTTTTGAGATCAGATTATAAGGTCCCCCAAGAAGACGGCGGTAGAGAAAAATGTGCCCGCCCCTTCGCCTCAACGAGCAGCAATCATAAAAAATTAACTATACTTATACTCCTCACTTGCTTGCTTTGCACGGGCGAAGGTAACCCAGCCCTTCCCTCAATTTCCCCTAAGGGCCACGGCTGACTTTCTCCTTTGAACGGGAAGTTCCAATAACGAAGAAATTCACTTTGAAGGCATGGCAAAGAGGACACGGAAGCGTGAGAGATCCTGGAAACGATGGCACATGGTCGCCTCGTACCAAGCAATATCCTGTCACCTTCTCACCCGTGAAATAAACCAATAGCAACGAGGATGCAGTTACCTGGATGGTAGATGGGATCGTGCGGAAGGGGAGCAGCGAAGGCGCTGGGATGAGGCAAGCACGATGGAGGTGGTGGCGCAACCGGGGGTGGAGGCGGCGGTGGCATCCCCATGCTGCATAAGGCACCCAACGGCGAGTATCCCATCCCTCGTACTCCATACTGGTTTTGGCAAAGGGGGGAAAAACGCAGGGATCATCATCATTCACTGACCACATCGATTATGGATTCCACGGAGACAGACTTGGAAAAAGGCAGCATGATTCCATACATAATCCATGATTCGGGTCGGGAATATCACCGACATAATGATGCTCTGCGGGCATGGACGAGTCCCTCGAGATCGTTTCATAAAGGTCTATCCATCTCCGGGAATCATTTAGGATTTCCTCCTATGATTTTTCACAGACGTCCCCTCCCCTTTCTCCCAGGAGGATCTGCTGCCTGGCCAGCTCCCCCCCCCCCTCCCCCCGCCTTTTTTTTTTTTTTTTAG